GTTTGTCATTTAGTGAACACAGGGGTGTCACATACTATTGCGGGGTCCTCACTGACTGGAGGTGTGAGTGGTGACTAGGGAAAAGTCAGTAAGAAGCACTAGGCCGTACGCTTTGGTCCGGGTTCTAATGATAACCCACTCCCCACCCAAGTGACTTGCCCGTATTTAATACTTAGCATGATTCATGTTTATTAAATACTTTTAGTGGATTATATGAGGACTGTTTCCAGGGACACACGTAGTAACCTATTAGCTCCTTGTTTTGCGTTCTAATTATTATTATGCTTTTTGTTGCAATAAAGTTTAACTACACTTTTATCTTCATGCGTTACAGGTGAATACGAAAGTTTACAAATATTTTTTGTGTAAACATAAACACTGAGACAGGCATCTTAAGATATTTTGTAATATTTGTCTAAAAATTTCACCATACGATCCTGAGGTGAGATGTAAATTAAAGAATAACATAAAAATCAGCGAGAAATACAGATAGGAACTCATTACGTTGGGTGAAGCATCAGAGATAAAAATCACAGGAACTGTGACTCATACCACTGAGAGAAAAGTATTATAAAGTCACTCGCGACTAGCAAGAACAGAAACGTTGAATGTTACCAGTGAAACGTTGAACTTCAGCAGTGCAACGTCGAGAGAACTGCGAAATTAGCACAGAAGAGATAAGGAGCAGTGAAGGATGTAGGCAGTGAAAATAAATACTTGAGTGGTTAGAGATATAGGTGAGAGAGACTGCAGAAACCCACTACCTGTAGCCTCCTGTTCTCCCGCAGCCCACGGCTGCCCATCAACCAACATGGGCTACCTGGCTGTCATCATCATGGGTGAGTGTAGCTCTTACAAATAGTGAGGGAGTACCTGGGACCAGAAAGTACACTCCTCTTAACTTTTTTATTGACATCATCAGATACATCTCATTGCTGATACATTTATTACTTAATACTTGAATATTTCCAGCAGATTTGAAAGTACTTTTTGGTCGGCATATGAGTTCCAGCAGGGCTAGAATTTTTAACATATATTACATGGCAATTGTTCCTCATGATGCGACCCACAACTCTTTACTAACACAGATGCCTATTGTTGCTGCAGGGAAAGTTGTCCGTGTTTCGTCGGTCAGTGATCGAACAACGAACGTATCGGTTGTGAACACTTGCTGGCACACCTCCAAGGTGTGTGACTCCACACTGGCGTGCAAACACATCTAGCAAGCCTCACCTGCCAAACTCTTGCCTTATGGGACTCCTACTTTCATCAGCTTCAGAACTTGCGTGGTCTTTCCCTCTTTACCATTTTCTCTTCCGTTCTTCCTCTTTTTATTGCCCTTCCCTTCCACACCCTCACCTGAATAATACATTGAGAAATTATTTAACTTTGGTGACAGGGTTATTCCTTTTTGTGTGTGTACGGGCAGAACGAACCTTGACAAATGTGTGTAGTCAGCGCTTCAGAGGTTGTTGGGGAGTCACTCATCTTTGTAAGTGTTGTGACACGACGACTCTACGGAATGAGTTGCGTGATCTCAATGGAAATAATATTTATTGTTTTTCTTTGTTGCATTACTTTTGGTTAGAATTTCTTTATTCACAACTTCTGAAATGAGATTCTGAAGTATAGATTTTGCCACGGAACCATCTTGTTAATTGTACACCCATGTCAATCATACAGACGCTAGCGTAAGAGCATATGGATATACAACTCTTACAGTGTCGTGAAACTAAAAATTTGTGGAAGGAGTACTGTGGAAACTTTAAGTTCTTCTGGTCAATTCCTGATCTCGAGACTTTATTGGGCACGTTGGATTTTGTGCTGCTGGCACCAATAGCCTGGTAGATCAGACAGCAAACAGGAGGCCTGGTCTGAAGGTCAAGTCCAGAGGCCTGTCTGAAGGCCTAGTCCGAAGTTTTAGCCTGGAGGCCTGGTCTGGAGGTCTAGTCCGGAGGCCTGGTCCGGAGGCCTGGTCCGGAGGTCTGGTCCGGAGGCCTGTTCCAGGGAAGGTGACCCATGTAAGCGACCACAGGTAACTTTGCATGTGGGTAGTCCCAAGTGCAACTCAGCCTACGTATATAGAGATCCTGACACCAAGCTGGCCTCGTGGATACAGCATTCGATCAATAGTCCAATCACTCCTGTCCATGAGATTACTAAACTGTCTAAAAATTATGTTACTACAAACATTGATTAAACTGCTTACAGCAGTAATGACTGACGCAGAGTCGACGAGTGGTGAAAAAATACATATCCAGAGGTTTCGCCTGTGGACAGGCTTCTTCAGTCAGTAAAGACCCTGTCCTTAGGCGAAACGTCCCAGGAAAATTTCTTTCTGTAAGTGTGGTTTCCACCAATCCCTGCTAACAACAGTGTGTAAAAACAGGTGTACAGTATTAACCTTAATGAGTCTTATTGTTGCTTCAGGAGGCAGCGGTTCGCACAACCAGAGAAAGGATGACGATTTTCAACCACCATTCCTTCTAGGAGGGTGCCCTGATGAAGATGAAGGGCTCTTGATTCTGTGTGAAGCTACGCTTCCTTTACATGAAACATAATTGCCCCGTATACCTCCCATTCACCAGGTTGTGTGTGATCCTTACGGGTCAGGTAGGTGGTGATGGTTGCCGATATGATGCTTTCCAGTGCATAGTTCTAGCTGCTCAGTCAAATTATGTTCCAAATAGGGAAATCAGATCAAACAAAAATGATCCTAAATGGATGAACAATAGATTAAAATATCTGATTGGTCAAAAGAGAGGCATATATAGGCAAATCAAAAGAGGAGAAGGGCAATTAAGAAATCGATATATTCAGTTAAAGAGAGAAATAAAAAAGGGAATTAGAAAGCAAAAAGAGATTATGAGGTTAAAGTTGCAAGAGAATCGAAGACTAACCCAAAAGGATTCTTTCAGGTATACAGAAGTAAGATCAGGGACAAGATAGGCCCACTCAAAAAGTTCCTCGGGTCAGCTCACTGATAGTGATAAGGAAATGTGTAGAATTTTTAACACATACTTCCTCTCATTTTTTACACAGGAGGATACCAGCGATATTCCAGTAATGATAAATTATGTAGAACAGGACGATAATAAACTGTGCACGATTAGGGTCACAAGTGACATGGTCCTTAGGCAAATAGATAAATTAAAACCTAACAAATCTCCAGGCCCTGATGAACTGTATGCAAGGGTTCTAAAGAATGTAAAGAGGAGCTTAGCACACCTTTGGCTAATCTTTTCAACATATCACTACAAACTGGCATGGTGCCAGATAAGTGGAAAATGGCAAATGTGATACCTATTTTCAAAGCAGGTGACAGGTCCTTAGCTTCGAACTATAGACCAATAAGCCTAACCTCCATAGTGGGAAAATTTATGGAATCAATAATTGCCGAGGCAGTTCGTAGCCACCTTGAAAAGCATAAATTAATCAACGAATCTCAGCATGGTTTTACAAAGGGGCGTTCCTGCCTTACGAATTTATTAACTTTTTTCACTAAGGTATTTGAGGAGGTAGATCATGGTAATGAATATGATATTGTGTATATGGACTTCAGTAAGGCTTTTGACAGGGTCCCACATCAGAGACTATTGAGGAAAATTAAGGCACATGGAATAGGAGGAGAAATTTTTTCCTGGATAGAGGCATGGTTGACAAATAGGCAACAGAGAGTTTGCATAAATGGGGAGAAATCAGAGTGGGGAAGCATCACGAGCGGTGTTCCACAGGGGTCAGTGTTGGGTCCCCTGCTGTTCACAATCTACATAAACGACATAGATGAGGGCATAAAGAGCGACATCAGCAAGTTTGCCGATGACACCAAAATAGGCCGTCGAATTCATTCTGACGAGGACATTAGAGCACTCCAGGAAGATTTGAATAGACTGATGCAGTGGTCGGAGAAGTGGCAGATGCAGTTTAATATAGACAAATGCAAAGTTCTAAATGTTGGACAGGACAATAACCATGCCACATATAAACTAAATAATGTAGATCTTAATATTACGGATTACGAAAAAGATTTAGGAGTTCTGGTTAGCAGTCTTGAAACCAAGACAACAGTGCACAAGTGTTCGCAATAAAGCTAATAGAATCCTTGGCTTCATATCAAGAAGCATAAATAATAGGAGTCCTCAGGTTGTTCTTCAACTCTATACATCCTTGGTTAGGCCTCATTTAGATTATGCTGCACAGTTTTGGTCACCGTATTACAGAATGGATATAAATTCTCTGGAAAATGTACAAAGGAGAATGACAAAGTTGATCCCATGTATCAGAAACCTTCCCTATGAGGATAGACTAAGGGCCCTGAATCTGCACTCTCTAGAAAGACGTAGAATTAGGGGGGATATGATTGAGGTGTATAAATGGAAGACAGGAATAAATAAAGGGGATGTAAATAGTGTGCTGAAAATATCTAGCCTAGACAGGACTCGCAGCAATGGTTTTAAGTTGGAAAAATTCAGATTCAGGAAGGATATAGGAAAGTACTGGTTTGGTAATAGAGTTGTGGATGAGTGGAACAAACTCCCGAGTACAGTTATAGAGGCCAGAACGTTGTGTAGCTTTAAAAATAGGTTGGATAAATACATGAGTGGATGTGGGTGGGTGTGAGTTGGACCTGATAGCTTGTGCTACCAGGTCGGTTGCCGTGTTCCTCCCTTAAGTCAATGTGACCTGACCTGACTAGGTTGGGTGCATTGGCTTAAGCCGGTAGGAGACTTGGACCTGCCTCGCATGGGCCAGTAGGCCTTCTGCAGTGTTCCTTCGTTCTTATGTTTAGTTTCCCTCGTGAACAGCAACGCACGCGCGCACTTGTATCAGTTGCAATACACGCAGAAAACCCATAACTGTGTATTATGTTAGTGGTTGACATGTCCCGTTCCTCACCCCAACAGCAACATGTTTGTACTGAGCTGCGACAGGTAATCTCCTTTATCCCGACAACACCGGTCTCCTGTTTACCCTGTGTGTGTGTGTGTGTGTGTGTGTGTGTGTGTGTGTGTGTGTGTGTGTGTGTGTGTGTGTGTGTGTGTGTGTGTGTGTGTGTGTGTGTACGTACGTGCTCTCCGATTTGTGTTTATGGGGATGGGTCAACATATATGCGTTCCTTGCCTCCTGGGCCATGGCATACCTACTCTTTAAACTGTACTGTATGGAGCTTGTCTCCATTTCCTCGTCAAACTCTTCACTTTTTTACCGTAACTCTAATACTGAAGAAGGATTTCTTAATACCTATGTAGCTCATCAGCGTTTTTAACTTCCCGCTGTGCCCACTCATCCGTGTCCCGCGTATTTTAAAGTTAAATCCATGAGATATAGGTTGATTGAAAAGAGGCAGTAAGCTGTATCCTAGAGATGTATAACGAATAGGAGAAAAGGCGTTATATCCCTGAGATGTATACGACACTGGAAGAAATTATTGTTCTGAGATGTATAAGGAACAGGAGACAAGATGTTATATGAAGAACAAACAAGGCACAATACCGTGACTGGCGCAATACACAAATAAATATACCTGAGATGTATATGACACTGGAAGAAAGAAATTATAGCTCGGAAATATATAAGGAATAGGAGACAACACGTTATATACTTGAGATGTATGTGAAAAATCTGGTGCGCTAGCTCTCACTGGCCGGCCCACTTTGTTGTTGTTTGCGTTAATCATCCGAGAAAAGCCACCTGACACAGGAGTACCACCTGGCTAAACCTAGGATCAAGCCCACATGACTTTTTGTATACAGTCTTTGTCATGAGATGACCCGTTCAATGGTGCCGCCACGAGGGCGGGGTGGGCCAGCAAAGCCACCGCTGGTGTGTGCTACCCTAC